TTATTATTATTATTACTTCAGAACTCTGTCTGACAGCAATCTAACTGATTAAGTCGTGGGACCCCACTTTCCTACTGCGTTTCCTACAGGTACATCCTGTCTTGACAACATTCCAACAGGACAATGTATGTCCTCAAACTACTCATATAACAATGGCTTTCTGGCAAGGTGAAAATGTGACTGTAACGCCTGGGATTCCCACACTAGATGTGAACCTCATTGAACGTTTGTGCCCAGTTGAACAGAGACAGTTATAGATGATTGTTGAACTGGAGTTCAGAGACCAGTGAACAGCCATGTGGCTTAAAGGATCTGCAAGAGGGATTGGCACAGAATCCCACAAGGCCATAACTGCAGCCTTGTGATTTTGCTTTGCTCTGCAAAGCATGCGTCACAGAATGTCAGCTTGTATGGTCTGTGGCCACACACACTACTAGCCTGTGAGTTTTGCAGTACAACCCACTCTTGGTAGCAAATGATCATCAGAATAATTAATTTACCTATGTTTCTGGAAAAAAAAGTCAGCACATTTAAAAACTATGCAAATTTGTTGTAGTTATATGTGATAACTTCATTTTCATTGTCTTTATATTTATTTTCAGTGTGAATCTTCCATTAGTGCTCTTTTTTGTCTTTCACTCATTTCCTGATTTTTAACTATTTTTTTAAAAAACAGTCTTAGTGGATTTCCTTCAATTAACAGATTACTGAGTCTTAATTTAATGAAACCTACTATCATTGATAAAATGTAGGCAAATTGTTGATAATAGTATGTAATGAATGCAGAGGATGACAGAAGAGGATTCAACTATTATTACATTATAGTAATATGTTGTCTACTGTCTTTCTTGTGTTATTTACAAACATAAACTATAAAGAATAAAATATAATGAAAAGTCAGAATTGCAATACCTAAATAATCAGGATTTACACACTTTGGCCCTCAATGATAATCTGCATCAAGGCTACAGTATGTTTTTGCAATCTAACACTCCACATTATCTTGATACCCATATTAAGGTGCCTATACACTCGTTATGTAATTTTCTAGGCATATATTATTATGATGATGATGCAAAACAAAGCCCTGCAGGTTTAAATTATGACACAGAAAGCTATTCTGTTAATATTCTACTACTGAGACATCATAATTGTATATCATAATTATCTTTCAAATGTTCGTATTTGTGCTTTGCAATGCGTAGAGCGTATTGTAGCCACCACACATTTAACCACAATAAGACTAACACCGCATTGCTTGCTAAAGACATGTTCGCCTTACTCAGGAATCAGTAATTTAATAGACATACTGTACAGTAATTGTAGGCACAAGTATTTGCGAATTTCAACATGTTAGAAACTCAGACGCTGCCTTATTTCTATGACAAGAACAGGGCATTTTGACTGTTATCCGTGGTTTATCGTTCAGCTATTCATCGTTTGTCTTTTTAGCCCAACAACAAGCTCCAATGTCTAATTTAGCCACTTGTTTTATAATGTTCTAGGCGGATTAATTTCGGAGCTGCCGCAGTGCTAATAGCTGACGATCCCTGTCGGTCCCAATCTGCACCACGGGTACAGACTGCAGACAAATTCAAACTGACTGAGTCCAAGGATCTCTCGCCCCAGCTTCGCCCTTGCCTTCCTGTCACGGCCGTTCAAAGACGGATGGTTTAATTTGCCTTTGATGAGTTCGGTGTACCGCGGCCGGCAGGGGAGAGATGAGACATTGCCGAGGCTCAGCGATGTTATCACTTGCGGCTGGATGGTTCTGCTGAACTACGCTGTCAATAACGTGAGCACGATTGCCTATACGCTCTCTTGAGCACATCGCTGATAAACTGTTATCGTACCGAATTTTTATGGTAAAGTTTACACAGACTCCAAACTACACCCTAGATTAATCGCTATTCCCCCTGCATAGACGTGCATATTGCATTACAATCAGAAACAGTCTATGGTCAATAAAAATAATAATAATAAAAAATAATTCTGATAATACCATTAGAAGAACCATTATTGCTATAAAAAGATTTTCTCAGAAAACTGTCTTAAACTATTTTGAGTGGGCTGTCAAATCTCCGTGCGTTAATTTGAAGTTATTTGTAGTATGAGTAGTTCTCCAATCACTTACATTCAGTCTTTCTCAAAGCACTTGTACTTGGTTTTCTTATGTCACGTAACCTGTACTCTGTTGGTTGTTTGATCTTTTGCTGTTGGAGATGTAGTAGGGAATGATGTAATCTGAAAGGAGCTGAATTATGGCCTCAGAGCCCCAGTACAAGGGATTTTCCCCAATTTGGATATACTTTGAACAGGAAAAGAAGGCAGAGAAGAGGGACACAGATAAGTACTTCATAGAAAAACACCTTACAGCAACACACATATTGTATCCAATGCAATACTGGCCTTAACTGTAGCTGAAACTAAGTTAACTGTATGGATTTTGAGTTTCCTATAGAGATCTCCATATGGTGTAGCATCTGGTTAGCCTCTCAGGACTCTGGCAGTGGAGCCTCTAGCCTGGACTGAATTTGATTCAGGCTGGGTCCACATTTATGTAAAAAAAAAAGGGGTACCTGTTATTCCTGCCCACCACTGATATAGATTATCTTTCAAATGCTGATAAGATGGCAGTTTTGGACAATAAGTACAAATTGCATAATAGTGTTTGTTATTTTGTTACCTCTGTGTTATAAACTGTTATAAGGTTTATCTGATACTGTAAATATGAGCACAGGAGAGAGCTCATTGGCTCATTGGCCAGGGCACTGTGAGTGGGGGTGGTGGTGGTGGGGGGGGGGCATTGATAGAGGTTAGGGGAGCTGTTCTCTTGATTGTGTGCTTGTATGTGCGTGTGTACATGTTTATAGCAGTGAGATTGGTGCAAATTTGGGCAATGCAGCTATGCAGCACTGAAGCACGCAGTGTTTTGACAGAGCTGCTGGGCAACTGAGAAGGATAGTGAAATAGAGAGAGAGAAATACAAGGCTCGCTTCACTTTGTAATCAGTGTTCCTGAGGGATCCATCATCCACTACAGACGACGAAAAGAATTCACTGCGGTCTCTCTCAAATCAGATCTGAAGAGTGGTTTTATTTCAGATCAGGGCTGACCACATAATCTTTGCAGCACAAAGGTAAGGAATTAACAGTCCCCCATCCTTCTGGCACTGATCTCATCCAAGGGTAACTTTCCATTTACAACATCAAGTTTGTGTAAGGTTAATTAGTTGGGCTTGAGTAGCTAATGTGAAAGTTAGTGTGCTTGTTTGAGTAATACAGAGTGTTAGGTAGCAGGATGTTTTGTAGTGGATGTCATACGCAATGTATTTCAGGAGCTAAATGTAAAAAAAAACTGGACTGCAGTATGTTCAGTAGCTCTGAGAGCATTCTGTGGTACAGTGAGCTCAGTAGAAATTGTTGAAAGTGTTGGGTTACAGTGTGTTTAGCATCTCCACATTCAAGAATTCTGGTCAGCAGTTTGTTCATTGCCTTGGTCTTGCTGTGCTGAAGTTTGTTGAGTAGATCTGTCCTGGAGTTCTGTTGTTCAGAATGTGGTAGAGTGCTGAGCAGCTGCATGTTTAAAATCTTCATGAGCAAGAGCACTGGGCAGCAGTTTGATCTTAGATTATTGCTCTGCAGTGTGTTCCATAGCTCAGTGGTTTTGTTTATTGTACTGCAGTGGGATTGAGCAGTTTGGTGATCATTACATATCATTCAGTAATGCAGATATGTGACTTATCTGTGATGTTATCTGTTTGTGTTCTGAAACCATCCAGCAAGTTCCATTTGTTGTTTACTTCAGATAACTCAACTCTGCAAATAACGTATTGGATTATTTTATTCAAGATTGAATCGAGAAGCCAGAATATTACATTTACACATATTTTTTATTATTTATATTGCTTTTTTTTACATCATGAATGTTTTTATTTTTTCCTTTTATAAAAAAGGGAGCAACACGCGTTAAATAAAGGAACGAATATGTAATGTGCATGACCTTTTGTAAATGTCTGGTATAGGTGTCATTTAACATCTGGAAACAGCCAAGCTTAGAAGTAAAGTACATGGCAAGGTGTTTGTACATGAGAACTAATATCCCTGGAGTATTTTGAAAACCACTGGCACTGCTCATCTCATATGCTGAGCTTTTATAATTCTCTAATTCCTTTCACTTCACTTCCCTGCAAAGCCAAGCGATGTGAAGGACATACCTTGCTCTCGCTATAGTCTAGTATTGTTAATTCAACTCAAAATTTAGAAGTGTTCTTCTATTTGTATTTTTATAAAACAATGTATCAATCAAGGTATAAAATATACAAATTTGTGAATTTAAGCATTTTTTTTTGAGTTCTACTTAATTATCAATTTATGGTGTAGAAGGCATCAGTACTATTTACAGTGACACTATATAAATGTGCTTGTGTATGAGTTTGCAGTATATATTGTAATAGGACATGGGCAAGATGATAGAAGAAGTGTACTCTTAGCCTAGAGGGTTAAAAAGCATCTATTCCAAGTAACCTTACGGGATAAAAGTTTGTACTCTTCCCATGTAACTCGGGACAACATTTCCCAAAAATAAACTTGAAAGAGTCTAATTAGCTGAAACCCTTTGTTATGAGGCATAGCACAGTTATTTTTGACTGAAGCTGTGTCTCAGGGTGTAAAAGTACAAGACAAAAAAACATCTTTCAGTCTTTTGTTGTGAACTGACTTTGTACTGGTGTTTTGTATGCCACAGGAATGTTGGGCAGAAACCGGGACTAAAACTTGGGTTTAGGAAATGCTGGTTTGTAGTTATTGGGTGGCTAAACTACTTTCTATTCATTAAACACTTCAGATTGGCTTGAGAACCAAAAATGTAACCAGTGCTCCAAAACAGTGCTAGTATACAGTAGTTGTTCCTCACTTCTTTTCAGTCTTGGACTTTGTGAAATGTTTTCACTGAGAGTCTTTCTATAAATAAAGCACCATGTCACTTGTACTTTACAGCTTATGTCTATTCCTCAGATCATTACATTGGACAAAGCTAACTGAGCTCAGCCACCAGTGACTTGGCACCCCAAACTGTTACCATCTGTATATAAAGAAAATTGATTAATTTAGGTTGACTGTAGAAAGAAAAATCTGAAAAGACGACTCACCTGTTTTGGTGGCCTTGCATATAAAAGCAGCCAATCTATTTAGCATCTACATACTGCTCTTATAAGAGGATAATGAACAATGAAATTGCCTTCTGTGAACTTGATTTTTAATTGTATTTTTCTGTTGACTGTGCCTTCGATGACTGATGTCATTTTAACATAAGTTCCCAGGATACCTTCCATCTCAGCATCAGTCCCATGCTGCAGAAAATTTAAAAACTCCAGCAGTGTGAAAATGGAAATATAGGATTTGACACCTTTCTTTTCCTATTTTTTTAAATGAATAGTTGTAGAATATTTCTTAAAACAAAATGCTTTAAAAATGCCTCTTTTAATGTTCATGCCTGTAGGTGTGTGGCATCTTCATGTGCGTTACACTGAGTTGCACTGAGTCTTAAAATGTTATCCTATTTTTTGTCTAACTTTTCCAGCTGATTTACATATGAACATACAAATGTGTCATTTCTCTCACACCTGGAACAAAAAGCTTTGAATGGCAACCTTTTAATGTTTTTTACAATGTGCGGCATCACAATATGTTTTGCAAGAAGTATTAGATGAATTCCTGAATCTGAAGGGATTTTGAATTTTTTATTTTGCCTGTGATCTGTTTTATTGCAGGATCAAAAAGGAAAAAATTTCAGGCAATTTTGCTCCACGGAGAAAATGCAGTTCCAAAGGGAATAGGTTTAAATCTAGCAGAGACTGGAGAAAACAAAAACTTATTTCATAGGTTGATAAAATTAGAATGTGAATGTAGTATTCTGTTCAAGCACCTTCTACCTGTGAAAACAAACATATACATTATTCGGTTTATTCCATGCTAAAAAAAGAAGAAAGAAAACACAATGTTTCAGCCGTGGAGCCTTCTTCGGGTATGTGACAATTATTAAATTATTATATAAATTATTCTACGGGAGAAGTGATATAGTGCAGTATCCATTCCATTATTGAATTTGGATTAATTCAATTCCACAATCACCTGTCATGTTGTTATGAATTTCGCAGCATAGAGCCTGACACTAATTAAACGTACTGTCATGGATCTGAAGCAAGGTGTCTGTAGGAGTGTGACAGTACAGCTTACATAACAGAAGGCTGCTGCAACAGTCATATCACAGTTCCCTTTCACCATAAGTAGAGTGATAGTATGGAGGCTAGCTCTTCTGCCTCACAGCTGCGGGGTCCTGGCTTTGATTCTAGGTTGAGGCTGTGTGGTTTGGATGTTGTTCCTGTGTGTAGGTGGTTTTGTTTTCCAGATACCCTGCTTTCCTTTAATCTCTCAAAAGCATGCAGATTAGTCTTTATGAGGTGTTCTATATTGTATCTTTTCAAGAGGATTTCATAGGTGGAGGGGAGGTATGCTTCTCTACAACTAGTACTGGTATCCATTCATACCAGCAGATGAAGACATATTCTCACAGCTTCTATAAGGTGCAAAGTGTGGCCATGTTTCATTGTCTTGAGTATAGACTCACCTAGTTAGGTTTACACCTTACTCGTACCTTCATGCTTTCCATCACACAGACAGAGGAGAAACGTTTAGTGTTATAACCCTGACTATGGCAGATTAGTACATAGGGGCTCTGACCTTTTCATCTGTCTGGGAGATCTGAGCATAGCTTTCATTACCCACAAAACCAGAAGTCATAGAGATCATTATTTCCACACATTTCATGCGAAACTGAAGTTGTATGTGCAGTCAATTTTTCAATTGAGTCCCGCACACCTTTTTAATGAATGTATCATAAGCATAGGCTGTTACTGAATGGGTATGATGGAATGGAGTGAAAGCAGAGTATTCAACCCAAGGGGAAATCTTTGAAATGGGAAACTGAAAATGAACAATTGTATTCTCCAACATTTCTCTTCATGAAATCAGGCAGATATGGTTGATCTTGCTCATTGCGTCCAACAATCTCACAATAACTTTGGTTGTACTGAATGTGTATGTGTCATCTCCATGTGTTGAGCTGATGTTAAATCCTGATAGCTATTGGCCACTGCTATTTCACCAGTTACTTTCACAAAAACTTTCAAAAGTTCCTTGTAGCTTTTGCCAAGGGAAACATTTCAACGTATCTAATTATGCTACTGTGGTGGACTGTGGTGTGGTTATTTTATGCTAATGTCCACTCTAACAAAGTGTATTCGGAATTAAAATGCTGGATTTTCCAATGTCTTGATGTATAATATTCAAACACTATGATCCCTGCTATCAATGTTCAACATAAGGTGCACAGTTGGGTACCATCTGGTTTTGTTTTTATGTTAGTCATCAAAGAGCTATAAACCGTATAATTACCATATAAACCATATAATTTCCATTCTATTAAAGAAAAAATCATATCTTTGGGAGGGCAATCCCTTCCACTGCCACTCCAGCTTTCACAAACTCCTGCCGTGTTTAACATCTATCTATCCAATTTTCTAACCACTTCTTTTAATTCACTGTCGGGGGGAGCTGGAACCTATCCTGGCAAGCTTTAGGCACAAGACAAGGTACACCCTGGATAGGACACCAGTCCATCACAGGGCACACACCCTCACACCTAGAGCCAGTTTTCTCAGTAGTCAATTAACCTATCCGTGTGCTGCCCTCCATGATGAACTCATAATCTTAATATATGTAAAATTTACATTGGGTTACAGTTGAGAATGTATAGGATTTTATATAATTATGCAATATAGACCATATAAATATAGAATTACATAGATCACATTTTCCACTGCAAGTAGAGAATCCCATACCGCATTATGCCTGCTTATCTTGAAGACAAGCTGATGTGGATGCAGCATGACGGAAGAATATTGCTTTTTACATGTTGAGAGAAATTAGTATTCATGTACAGTTCGCTGCAGTAGCCACTGGTGCAACAGATTCTTCACTAGAAAACGCTGAGTTTTAACAGAGAATTCCTTGATTTCTACTCGTACTGAGTCATGAGTGGTCATATACCCCTGCTGCAAACGTGTTGAGACTGTCAGCATTAGAGGCACAAGAGGGTTGAATCTGAGGTGTGTTACTGTACGTGCAATGGAAGCTCCCTCAACAAAAGCTAGCACTAGACAAGGTACATAGGAAGGTCAATCTCCTGATAATTTCAGATCAATAACTATAATGAGAAAATATTTAAAATGTATATAAGGGCCACAGTTTTACAATCAGTTTCTCCAAATATTTTAATTTATTATTGCATGATTGAGCAAGATTGTAGGATTTTACACAAAAGAGGTGGAAATTTTCTAGGCTTATATAGACATATTTTATAGTATAAAAAAACAGATAGTACCTTTGAGAATTAATGGCATTGTCATGACATGCATTGTGTTCCCAAGTATTCCTTTCAGTGATATACAGTATATATACAGTATGTTTTCTGAGGTATGAAATCTGTTTATCTATCTGTGGTAATCCTTCTGTTATACAATTTGAATCCTGAACCCATGTGTTGGATGCAAGAAAATATTTTCTGCACCGTAGCAGATTGTTTCATGGTACATAATACAGAGAACACCATGGTGTAGTTAGAGAAAAGGAGAAAGAGAGAGGAGGAAAGAGAATGGGAGACAGAGAGAATTTGTGAAAAGGTGAAAGTGACCATAGAAACTGGACACAGGCAGACCTGGATATCCAGAGAGGACAGGCTAGTTACCACAGCCTGGCCATAGAAATTGGACACAGACAGACCTGGATACCCAGAGGGGACAGGCTAGTTACCACAGCCTGGCCATA